TTTTTTTTTTGTGCATTTTAATTTATCTTAATAATTACAAGTCATTACTGGTCTAATAAAGTTCAGCACTATTTTACATTTTTCATTCATATTTATTTAAAAAATGACTGCTGATGACTTTTTTTTCTGCCATATTTTCCGATTTTAGTTATCGATATCTGAAAAAAATCCCTCAATTTGAAAAAAGACCTCTATTTGACAGGCAAAATAATGTAGACAATTTTTCCAGAATATTTAGTGTAGTATGAGTGTGGCATGTGCACCTGTAGTGGGGTTGGCCAGAGGGTTGGGTTTTCTCTGAATGGCACGGGCAGTGCCAGTGTCTTCATTTATCTGCTGCATAGAGTTGAAGTCGATTGTGTAGACACGGCCGAGTGTCGACAGACTTATCTCATCTTCTCCGTTCTGGTGTGCAGTCTGAAAAAAGTGAGCAATTAAGATCGAAAGGAGATTCTGAATCATTAGCACTTCTGAATGCCACGCTAACTACATCAACATACTTCAATGATGCGGCTGTCAATGCGGTTGTACGGGTGCCACAGGCCCCTATCATCTCTCCACTGCCAGATGGCACCCTCCATGGTCTGGGCACTGCCTTTCTTTAGCATGGCATCAACCGCAAAGATGCCCTCTCTGGGCAGACATGGCATCAGCTCACTACAGCAGAGAGATAAAACAGTTATCAAACACACTCATTATGGTTTCCTCTGCTGAATTGTTAGCAAAGATGAGAATTTTCATTTTGGAGTGAACTAATCCTTTATGCTTCATAATAATTCCTCCAATCTGAGTCTCCCTTTCCTCAGAGCATGTTAATCAGAGGTCACTGACAGAACCACACAAATCGAGGAGAGGTTTATTAAAACAATACACACCAGATGAGTGAGGTGAGTTCATAAAGCTCCTGGGGGCTTCTGGGAACAAGGTCAATCTGCTCTTGACAGCTCCCATTAGATGCTCCACAGAGCAGGAAACGCAGGGTCTCTGCTATATCTGAAAACACACTCAG